TTCCGTCCCCATCATCCCATCCCTTCCGTCCCCATCATCCCATCTCTTCCGTCCCCTTCCTCCCATCCCTTCCGTCCCCATCATCCCATCTCTTCCATCCCCATCCTCCCATCTATTTTGTCCCCTTCCTCCCTCCCATCTCTTCCGTCTCCTTCCTCCCATCCCTTCCGTCCCCATCATCCCATCTCTTCCGTCCCCATCATCCCATCCCTTCTGTCCCCATCATCCCATCTCTTCCGTCCCCTTCCTCCCATCCCTTCCGTCCCCATCATCCCATCTCTTCCATCCCCATCATCCCATCTCTTCCATCCCCATCCTCCCATCTATTTTGTCCCCTTCCTCCCTCCCATCTCTTCCGTCCCCTTCCTCCCATCCCTTCCGTCCCCATCATCCCATCCCTTCCTTCCCCATCATCCCATCTCTTCCATCCCCATCATCCCATCTCTTCCATCCCCATCCTCCCATCTATTTTCTCCCCTTCCTCCCTCCCATCCCTTCCGTCCCCTTCCTCCCATCCCTTCCGTCCCCATCATCCCATCTCTTCCATCCCCATCATCCCATCACTTCCATCCCCATCCTCCCATATATTTTGTCCCCTTCCTCCCTCCCATCTCTTCCGTCCCCTTCCTCCCATCCCTTCCGTCCCCATCATCCCATCTCTTCAAGCCCCATCCTCCCATCACTTTTGTCCCCTTCCTCCCTCCCATCTCTTCCGTCCCCTTCCTCCCATCCCTTCCGTCCCCATCATCCCATCTCTTCCGTCCCCATCATCCTATCCCTTCCGTCCCCATCATCCCATCTCTTCCGTCCCCTTCCTCCCATCCCTTACGTCCCCATCATCCCATCTCTTCCATCCCCATCATCCCATCTCTTCCATCCCCATCCTCCCATCTATTTTGTCCCCTTCCTCCCTCCCATCTCTTCCGTCCCCTTCCTCCCATCCCTTCCGTCCCCATCATCCCATCTCTTCATGCCCCATCCTCCCATCACTTTTGTCCCCTTCCTCCCTCCCATCTCTTCCGTCCCCTTCCTCCCATCCCTTCCGTCCCCATCATCCCATCTCTTCCATCCCCATCATCCCATCTCTTCCATCCCCATCCTCCCATCTATTTTGTCCCCTTCCTCCCTCCCATCTCTTCCGTCCCCTTCCTCCCATCCCTTCCGTCCCCATCATCCAATCTCTTCAAGCCCCATCCTCCCATCTATTTTGTCCCCTTCCTCCCTCCCATCTCTTCCGTCCCCTTCCTCCCATCCCTTCCGTCCCCATCATCCCATCCCTTCCGTCCCCATCATCCCATCTCTTCCATCCCCATCATCCCATCTCTTCCATCCCCATCCTCCCATCTATTTTGTCCCCTTCCTCCCTCCCATCCCTTCCGTCCCCTTCCTCCCATCCCTTCCATCCCCATCATCCCATCTCTTCCATCCCCATCCTCCCATCTATTTTGTCCCCTTCCTCCCTCCCATCTCTTCCGTCCCCTTCCTCCCATCCCTTCCGTCCTCATCATCCCATCTCTTCAAGCCCCATCCTCCCATCACTTTTGTCCCCTTCCTCCCTCCCATCTCTTCCGTCCCCTTCCTCCCATCGCTTCCGTCCCCATCATCCCATCTCTTCGGTCCCCATCATCCCATCCCTTCCGTCCCCATCATCCCATCTCTTCCGTCCCCTTCCTCCCATCCCTTCCGTCCCCATCATCCCATCTCTTCCATCCCCATCCTCCCATCTATTTTGTCCCCTTCCTCCCTCCCATCTCTTCCGTCTCCTTCCTCCCATCCCTTCCGTCCCCATCATCCCATCTCTTCCGTCCCCATCATCCCATCCCTTCCGTCCCCATCATCCCATCTCTTCCGTCCCCTTCATCCCATCCCTTCCGTCCCCATCATCCCATCTCTTCCATCCCCATCATCCCATCTCTTCCATCCTCATCCTCCCATCTATTTTGTCCCCTTCCTCCCTCCCATCTCTTCCGTCCCCTTCCTCCCATCTCTTCCGTCCCCATCATCCCATCTCTTCAAGCCCCATCCTCCCATCTATTTTGTCCCCTTCCTCCCTCCCATCTCTTCCGTCCCCTTCTTCCCATCCCTTCCGTCCCCATCATCCCATCTCTTCCGTCCCCATCATCCCATCCCTTCCGTCCCCATCATCCCATCTCTTCCGTCCCCTTCCTCCCATCCCTTCCGTCCCCATCATCCCATCTCTTCCATCCCCATCCTCCCATCTATTTTGTCCCCTTCCTCCCTCCCATCTCTTCCGTCTCCTTCCTCCCATCCCTTCCGTCCCCATCATCCCATCTCATCCGTCCCCATCATCCCATCCCTTCCGTCCCCATCATCCCATCTCTTCCGTCCCCTTCCTCCCATCCCTTCCGTCCCCATCATCCCATCTCTTCCATCCCCATCATCCCATCTCTTCCATCCTCATCCTCCCATCTATTTTGTCCCCTTTCTCCCTCCCATCTCTTCCGTCCCCTTCCTCCCATCCCTTCCGTCCCCATCATCCCATCTCTTCAAGCCCCATCCTCCCATCTATTTTTTCCCCTTCCTCCCTCCCATCTCTTCCGTCCCCTTCCTCCCATCCCTTCCGTCCCCATCATCCCATCCCTTCCGTCCCCATCATCCCATCTCTTCCATCCCCATCATCCCATCTCTTCCATCCCCATCCTCCCATCTATTTTGTCCCCTTCCTCCCTCCCATCCCTTCCGTCCCCTTCCTCCCATCCCAGCCGTCCCCATCATCCCATCTCTTCCATCCCCATCATCCCATCTCTTCCATCCCCATCCTCCCATCTATTTTGTCCCCTTCCTCCCTCCCATCTCTTCCGTCCCCTTCCTCCCATCCCTTCCGTCCCCATCATCCCATCTCTTCCATCCCCATCATCCCATCCCTTCCGTCCCCATCATCCCATCTCTTCCGTCCCCTTCCTCCCATCCCTTCCGTCCCCATCATCCCATCTCTTCCATCCCCATCCTCCCATCTATTTTGTCCCCTTCCTCCCTCCCATCCCTTCCGTCCCCTTCCTCCCATCCCTTCCGTCCCCATCATCCCATCTCTTCCGTCCCCTTCCTCCCATCCCTTCCGTCCCCATCATCTCATCTCTTCAAGCCCCATCCTCCCATCACTTTTGTCCCCTTCCTCCCTCCCATCTCTTCCGTCCCCTTCCTCCCATCCCTTCCGTCCCCATCATCCCATCTCTTCCGTCCCCTTCCTCCCATCCCTTCCGTCCCCATCATCCCATCTCTTCCGTCCCCATCATCCCATCTCTTCCATCCCCATCATCCCATCTCTTCCGTCCCCTTCCTCCCTCCCATCTCTTCCGTCTCCTTCCTCCCATCCCTTCCGTCCCCATCATCCCATCTCTTCAAGCCCCATCCTCCCATCACTTTTGTCCCCTTCCTCCCTCCCATCTCTTCCGTCCCCTTCCTCCCATCCCTTCCGTCCCCATCATCCCATCTCTTCCGTCCCCATCATCCCATCCCTTCCGTCCCCATCATCCCATCTCTTCCGTCCCCTTCCTCCCATCCCTTCCGTCCCCATCATCCCATCTCTTCAAGCCCCATCCTCCCATCACTTTTGTCCCCTTCCTCCCTCCCATCTCTTCCGTCCCCTTCCTCCCATCCCTTCCGTCCCCATCATCCCATCTCTTCCGTCCCCATCATCCCATCTCTTCCATCCTTATCCTCCCATCACTTTTGTCCCCATCCTCCCATCTCTTTTGTCCCCTAAACCCATCTCTTCCGTCCCCTATACAATCAGCAGCTCCCAAGGACTCCGGAGCTGCACCACCGGTGAGGGTGATCACCGAAGCAACCAAGGCCTATGAGCTCGTCCCCGTCAAGAAAACCCCATTTGTGGCGGCATCCTGCGATCGCCGCCAGGAGCATGGTGGTGTATCAATCGTGGACCTTGACCAATTCGAGTGACGCGTGATGGCAAGTTTGGCCGAAATGCTGTCGGCCATACTTCGGGGTGCTGGTCTATCCGTCCCAATCGGAGCGCCTGCAGCAACTCCTCCTCATTCTGGCCCGAGCACCAGCTCGTCGGAAGGCCTTCCCTCCAGCAATAGTCCCCTGGCAAACCACCGCGAAATCGTCTACAAAGCGGTAGTCGACTTCAAGGTGCGTTCCCTGTGATCGTGCGTTTCCTAAAATCGTACTCGACTTGTCTCCCCCCTCTCCCCTCTCCCCTCTCCCCTCAATCCTAAACCCCACTTGCTTCCACCATGCAGGTCTATGGAGTTGAAGCTTTTCCTAAGCTATGACTCATGCTTTCAATCTCAGGCCCTCCTACCCTCAACCCTAAACCCCACTTTCTTCCGCACCCAGGTCTAGAGAGGTGAGGCTCTACCTAAACCCCGACTCCCCTCTGCCTGCCTGCCCCCTCTCCCCTCAACCCTAAACCCCCCTTGCTCCACCATGCAGGTCTAGGGAGTTGAAGCTTTTCCTAAGCTATGACTCATGCTTTCAATCTCAGGCCCTCCTACCCTCAACCCTAAACCCCATTTTCTTCCGCACCCAGGTCTAGGGAGGTGAGGCTCTACCTAAACCCCGACTCCCCTCTGCCTGCCTACCCCCTCTCCCCTCAACCCTAAACCCCCCTTGCTCCACCATGCAGGTTTTTTTAGTTGAAGCTTTTCCTAAGCTATGACTCATGCTTTCAATCTCAAGCCCTCCTACCCTCAACCCTAAACCCCACTTTCTTCCGCACCCAGGTCTAGGGAGGTGAGGCTCTACCTAAACCCCGACTCCCCTCTGCCTGCCTGCCCCCTCTCCCCTCAACCCTAAACCCCACTTGCATCCCGATCCAGGTCTAGGGAGTTGAGGCTCTACCTAAACCATCACTTATGCTCTGGCTGTCTGCCCCCTATACCCTGAACCCTAAACCCCCCTTGCAATCCCTTGCCTCTTGCTCTGCATATCTTCCACCTCCCCTATCCCCCTCCAATCTGCAGGAACTGTCTAGGCGTGTATCAACACACCTCTGCTTCAACATTGAAGCCTCAATGATTCAGTTCTACCCTTCTGCGGAGGAGGCCTTAGATCACGGGTTTAGCGAGTTTGTGTCGCCACAGGTTCTTGCCTCGTTGCGTGTGCTCTTTCAGCACAATGATGCCAGCACCAAAGGGGTTTTTTTCGAGCAGCTGTCTTCAACTAGGACTTCTATCAACGGCTGGATGAGAAAGGTGGCGCTCACGGCACTGGGTCGACAGGCGAACAGGTGTTACTTGGGGAGGTTACCAACAGATCTACTTGCACCACTCGAGTTCTACACGGATGAGGAACTCATTGCGCGATACAAGGATGGTGAGTTTGTATGCGACCTTTGATCCCACAGTTGCTGTTATGTGTGTTGCAATCATATGTATGACTTCGTTCCTCGTTGCCACTTTCGGCTGCCCCCTATTAATCATAAAGTCGGCACTATTCATCCCTTTGTTTGCTATGACCACACAATCCCATCTCAGGGGAGAGGGGGCTGGCTTGGCACCGTGAGCTGCTCATCCCCTTCAGCAGCCTCATCTTCTCGGTGTCCATCAAGTTGGCTTTGGCGCGCCGTGGGGTCAATACCGAGAAAATTAAGATCCGCCAGCTTGGCTGGATCCTATATGCGGTGAGTTTATGGACATGTTGTTATGTTTGTTGCCATGTATGCGGTGAGCCTATAGTGTTTTCATGTGTGAACACATGTCTGTTGCTCTATACCACTACATTCCCACCTCATTCCCACCACATTCCTACAGTTTGAGTGGCCAATCCTCAACAATGCGCCCGATGGGAAGTTGAGCGGCAAGTGGGAGTACAATCGGATTCAGTATGAGGATATGTGCACCCGTGTGAGGCGGGAGGTCGAGATCGGTGTCATGGACCATGGTGTCCCATACGCCAGCAACACGAACACATTCAACTTCCCCAACGGCGTCTACATCGACGCGTCTGACATGGAGACCCTTGTTGACAGGGTGCAGGTAAGTCATCCCTAGGACCAACTCCTTGTTGATATTTGTACCAACACTCTGCTTATGTGGCACCAACACTTTGCTGTGGCTCCAGCTTTGTTGAATTCCTCCCATCTCCTCCCTCCCCTTTCTCCCATCTCTTTCGTCTCCTTCCTCCCGTCTCTTCCGTCCCCTTCCTTCCGTCCCCTATGCCTCCATGCGCAGGCTGCACGACCCGCACAAGCACGGGTAGTCACTTCCAACCCTTGATCACAGAAATCTGCAGCAGCACTATGGGGATCGGTGCGGAGGGGCTTAGCAGTGGCAGTAGCAATCTGCAACAGCAGCAGGGGGACTGGTGCGGAGGAGCTTAGCAGTGGTAGTAGCAACCTGCAGCAGCAGCAGGGGGATCGGTGCCTCAAAGCAGACATATCAGTGGCTGTAGCAATCTGCAGGAGCAGGGGGACAGGAAAACGAGGGGCATATAAGTGGGTGCAGCAATTTGCAGCAGCAGCAGGGGGACAAGTGCGGAGGGGCACATCATTGGCAGTAGCAATCTGCAGGAGCAGCAAGGGGACAGGAAAATGAGGGGCATAGCAAGGGCAGTGGTAGTGTGCAGGAGCAGCAGCATGATAGGAAAACGAGGGGCCTAGCAGAGGCAATAGCAACCTGCAGGAACAGTAGGGGGACAAGAGCGGAGGGACGTAGCCGTGACAGTAGCAACCTGCAGGAGCAGCAGGGAGAGGGGTGCGGAGGGGCGTATCAGTGGCAACAGCAACCTGCAGCAGCAGCAAGGGGATAGGTGCGGAGGGTCATATTAGTGGCAGTAGCAATCTGCAAAAGCAGCAGCATGACAGGAAAACGAGGGGCAAAGCAGAGGCAGTAGCAATCTGCAGGAGCAGCAGGAGGAAAGGTGCGGAGGGGCGTAGCAGTGGCAGTAGCAACTAGTAGCAGCAGCATGGGGACAGGTGCGGAGGGGCGTAGCAGTGGCAGTAGCAACTAGTAGCAGCAGCATGGGGACAGGTGCGGAGCAGTAGGGGCAGCAGGGGGACAAGTGTGGAGGAGCATGGCAGTGGCAGTGGCAACCACTAGCAGCAGCAGGGGGACAGGTGCGGAGGGGCATATGCATGGCAGTTGCAACCAGCAGTAGCCTCATTAGAAGGATATAGTAACCATATGTAGTGTAGGAGCAGTAGAGATGTACAATATTGTTTTCCTGTATCTGGAGGTACACTATGCTGTAATTTGTTTATGCAATACAAAAAGATTTTAAATTAAAATTTCTTACAAATGGCAGTTTCGTATAGGGCCAACCTAGGACCCAGGAGATTCGAAATTGGGACCAAACTTGGTCCAACTTGGTATAAAGCTGAGAGTAGGCTTGAATGAAAAATGGTCCTCAAGTTCACCTAAACTTTGTCCAAACATAGTCCAAAGTTCAACTTAGCAACTATACCAATATTGGTCCAAACAATGAGACTAATAATGGTCCAATATTGGATGGAAACACCAAGATTGGGCCAATAATTGACCAATCTAATAGGGGGGATTTTGTGATGGTGGACCTCGCCGTCTTTCTGTAAGCTTCTCCTTCTCTCTTTTACTCACGTGTACTTCTGCTCTCTTCTCGCTTCTCACTACTCACGTCACGTCTCATTCTCCTCGGTTCACCCCTTACTCTCTCAACCTCCCCTTACTTCCGGCATCCTGTTTTTGCCTCTTGTTAGCTTTGCCCCTCTTTACCCGTCTGTCCCATGGCCAAACACCCGCCCCTCCCTGCCCCTTCTCGCCCCTCCCTTCCCCTTATCGCCCTTCCTTGCCCCTCCTTACCCCTCCTTGTCCCTACTTCCTCAGCAACATCTCAACTAACGACTACGACATTCGTTACCACGTACGCGTCAGTCTGAACGACTCTGGCGAGCCCATTGGTGTCGTCATCAAGAAGGGCGCTGACGTGGCACTCACTGTGCTCACCAGCGACGCCACGTGGACCAATCGCACGCTCTCAAACGCCGAGCGCGCCAAGCTGGGCGGCAAACTGACTCCCAAGGGCAGGAAGGGCAAGCAGCCGCCTCCCCCTCCCCCTCCCCTCGGCTATAACTACGAAACCTCCGGCACTTGGCTAAGCGCCAGTACTTTGACGGCGGATAACGGGCAGACGTATAAGGAGTTGGCGGATGCCATGCTGGCTGCACCTGACACCTACTCTGCTCTCATCTACACCAAAACATTTGAGAATGGTGTGGCGAGCGGCGCTTTTGCGAATGTCACCAAGGACGGTGGTGAAGTGTCTGGCAATTCGGCAGTTAAATTTTATCGGGTTACGAGATTTGCCCGAAACATCAAACTTCATTAGTACTGTACTACCTTCTATAGACTCAATGAGAGCCTCAGTTCAGAATATATGCTAGCCAGAAAACCTAATATATCGCCCAATACTATGGCTCGGTTCTGGCAAGATCATATGCTTCAGCACACCCATAACCATGTGTTTCAGCGCACCCAGACATGAGCAGCAGCAGCTGCTTTTTCACACGCCTAGGGGCATGAGCAGCAACAGCTGACACTGCAACAGCCCTATGACAAATTCCAGCCACAAGCAATCTTACAGATCCCACATACTGCCCCACTCTCTCATCCGCCCACAGGTCATCAGTCGTGTTGTTATAAGTGAAGGATCGTAATAGATAGGATAAGTCTGTCAAGTCTGAGAGAAGACAATGAAGTCTTTGTAATGACCTTGTTAATAAGTTGAAAGAGAACAAGATGATTAAATGATAGTGGTACAAAGATATAAATAGCAATCCTAGATAGCCATGTACCCTGAGGGGTACATTCCCTTATTAACTGAATTGTTAGAATCCCTTTGCAGGAATGATTGGATTAGCAAGAGTTGGGGTACAAGTACTAACCCTAGAAGTGTTGTACCCTATAAGGAGTGCCCCACTATAGCCTACAAGTAAGATTGTACTTTGACACCACCCCATAGGCTAAGTGGGGGACAACAAGACGGTCACAAGACAGTCAAGCAAGACAACAGAGCAAAGCAAAGCAAAGCTCAAGGGGGATCTCAAGGACACAACACAATCCGAGCACAAGCAAGCGGCCACAAGGCCAGTTCACATGCAGAGTTATAATAGCAAGACAGTACACTGATCACAACCTAGCAAGAGTAAACAAGCAGGTATAAAGATATATATCAGTATACAACAAGAGCAAGTCAAGCAACCAGTAGGTGAGGCAGAGTGGGCACAAGCCCAAGATCAGTGTAGAAACGCTGATGATCACCAGACCCAAGGGCCTTGGCAGGGCCTATGTTAGGTTTTTGGCTTCTCACGATTAGCAGTGTAGCCTTTTTCAAAACCCTTATGATCAGTGTGTAATTTTTCGTTACACTGATACATCAGTGTAACATTGAGTTTCGAAAAATTTACCCAAGAGCATCAGTGTAGTATATTTGTGTACCCTTATCGCATAAAATATTTGTAGTAAATTGGGCGCTGGTGGGTGGGGGTTGTGGGGACCTCGAGTCCCAAATTTGGGACTCGTGTCCCCAAACCCACGTTTTCGCCGAGTCAGCAAGCTTCCCGGGGGGAACGTGGGTTTGGGGACCTCGAGTCCCAAATTTCCGAGTCAAGATAAAGTTTTTGCAGTGAGTGCAGATTTGACCAATCAGGTTGCATCGCCTCTACAGTAGGTTGCAAGCAGGCATGGAGTGACGCGGTGTCGGTTGTCAGTACTCACGTGCTGACGTCGTAGTACATCATTACGAAATTGAGTGTATCGTTACGAAATTTCTAGGAAACTTCGTCTCGATGAGTAGAGTTTCGAGGGGGGGGTGCCCTGTACGTCCTTAAGGGTAATCTTCGCTAAGGGAAAATTTACCCCAGAGCATCAGTGTGGCCTAAATCATTTCACTGTCAAATCAGTGTAACACTAATTTTCAAAAAAAATACCCAAACACATCAGTGTAGGCCCTAAATTTCACCCTTCTCATCAGTATAGCAGTGTGATTTACACTGATAAAATAGGCCCTGGGCCTTGGTGAACACATCAGCAGTGTTGGCCCACAAGGCCACGTAGGAAAGGCGGAGCTGCCGACGCTGCTGCAGCTCACGCACAAAGAAGTAGCGAAGAACAATGTGCTTCGTTCTGTGCTCTAGTCTCTGCTCATGACACAAGGCAAGCATTGCCTTATTGGCGACGTACAGAACTGGAGGAGAACGAAGCCGCTCCCCCAAGTCGGTCAGCAGGTAGGTCAGCCAGCGTAGCTCCTGTGCAGCCATGGCCCCAGCGTAGATCTTGGCCTCACAGCTGGAACTAAGCACAGAAGAAGAACGAGTGGACCTCGACGAGACAGAACCAGAGCCAAGACTGAAGGTGTAACCCTGTGACGAACGCTGAGTCACCTGGTTGTCGGCCCAAGAAGCGTCGGAGTATCCTGTAAGTACCACTAAACCCTGTCCTCCAAGCACTAGCCCCATGCCCGGTGTACTGCACAAATAACGCAGTACCCTATTCACGGCATCCCAGTGCACCTTTCGATGTTTACCGAGAGCCACGTAGCAAGCCAGGAGGCTGAGAGGGTACGCAAGGTCAGGTCGTGTGCACGTCATCAGGTACATGACGCAACCCACAAGCTCTGGGTACGGACCACTCGGCTCTACGGACTCGTCCGAAGATGGAGCTGAGAGCGAGTGGCCGGTAGACAGAAGAGTGGTCTGTGGCGAGGAGAACTGGAAGCCGAAGCGCTGAAGGACCTGGTGCACCATGTGTGACTGAGTCAGGGTGATGGTGCGCCGTGCTCTGTCCCGGGTGATCTGCAAGCCAAGATAGCTTCGCAGCTCACCCAGGTAAGTGCAGGTGTGTCTCTCCTACAGCTCCGCCTTACCTAGGGCCAGCGCCCCAGTGTCAGCAGTAGCAAAAACCAAGTCGTCGACGTACACTAGAACGTAGAACGGCGACAGGGTAGTGTCGGTGCGTAGAAACAGCGACGGGTCAGCAGAGGAAGGAGCAAACCCAAGAGCCGCAAGTGTAGTCCTTTAGTGTGTCGTGCCACTCTCGGGGCGCCTCGCGGAGACCGTAGACTGGCCACCGGAGGCTCCACTGGGTACCCGCAGGAAATGACACAGTGAAGCCGGGTGGGCGGCGTAACCAGATCTCCTCGTGAAGGCTGCCCTGCAGGAAAGCTGTGGAGAAGTCGAGGCAATGCAGCGCGTAGTCACGCTGTGCTGCAACGTGCAGGAGCACCCGAAGAGTAGTCATCTTCGGGGTGGGGGAGAAGGTCTGGAAGAAGTCGACCCCCTGTCGCTGATTGAAGCCTCGAGCAACGTAACACGCCTTGAAGGCAGGCGGAGAACCCGGCGGCCGCTTCACTCTGAAAATCCACATGCCATCGACTATGTTCGCCCTAGGAGGAGGAACCTCGTCGACGTAGGTGCCTGTGGACTTCCAGGAAGCCATCTCTGCGTCCATGGCTGTCTGCCACTAAGAGGAGTACTCACCCGCGATCGCCTCAGCGTAAGAGCGGGGGGTAGGGATGTCAAGTGCATCCGGGTCTCCCTCAGGGCAAAGCAGCATGGATGCGAAACGAGGTAAAGCGGCCGCAAGACACTCAAGCTCAAACGGTCTGTCCTCAAGTACGTCACTGCCAAGGGCAAGCTCACCCCCGACGGACGGAGGACAGACAGACTCAGACTCAGTGATAAGACTCACGACGTAGTCGAGACGACTCCTCGCTGCAAAGTCGACTAGCTCATTGACTAGGGAAAACGTTGCAGTAGACTCAAGGTCAGGGTCAGTGACGACAGTAGCGAGGAGACGAGTGACAGTAGGACTGGCAGCACGAGCAAGGTCAGACTCAGGGTCAGGAACGTGCGGAAGAGTGGACGCGGGAGGCTCAGGTAGGACAACACGTTGTGGAACAGAGGAAGGACGAAGTGCCATACCGTGAGTGCCTGGGACAGCAGGAGGACGAGGACGGGCGACACGACGAGCACGAACAGGTGTGGAAGCACGAGTCTCAGGCTCACGACGCTCAGTCAGGGACTCAGTCAGGGCACCAGTAGTACCTCCAGCACCTCCAGTGCCAGCAGATCCAGTAGCACCTCCAGCACCTCCAGCACCAGCAGTACCACCTGCTCCGGCAGCTCCAGCACCTCCAGCACCAGCAGTACCTCCAGTACCTCCACTGCCAGCAGCTCCAGTAGCACCTCCAGCACGAACAGCACCACCAGCTCCGGCAGCTCCAGCACCTCCAGTACGAGCACCTCCAGGACCAGCAGCTCCAGCACCTCCAGAACCTCCAGCTCCAGTGCCTCTAGAACCAGCAGCACCTCCAGCACCTCCAGTACCTCCAGGATTAGTTGGTCTAGCACCTCCAGCACCAGCAGCACCTCTAGGACTAGTACCTCCGGCACCTCCAGCACCAGCAGCACCTCTATTACCTCCAGCACCAGCAGCACCTCCAGCACCAGCAGTACCTCGAGTACCTCCAGCATCAGCAGTACCTCCAGGACTAGCAGCTCCAGCACCAGCAGGACCGTACCCTCCACCACCAGGACTGCCTCGCCGAACGATCCACTCACGAATCGCCTGCGGCAAGAGCGTCTCAAGTAGATCAGGCTGCAGTGGCTGTCCAGCTCTAGGAATTCCAGCAGGGTCACCCACAGCTCCACCACCACTAGGACTCGCAGTACCCCCAGAGTCAGCACCCCCAGTTGCAGCACCCCAAGAACCAGCACCCCCAGTCGCAGCACCCCCAGTCGCAACACCCCCAGCCGCAGCACCCCCAAAACCCTCACCCTCTGTCTCAGCACCCCCAGGCTTAGCACTAGCAGTCTCAGCTCCAGATTCCACAGCAGCAGGCTGCGGAGGCGGCAAACCAGGGGGGGTCTCCAACCGCCGTGTCGTCAGCGGCGGGGTCACCCCCCTCAGCTGGGCCAGAAGAGTCAAAAGAGATCTCCAAAGGCTCAACCAAGGGGGGTGGGTCTACTTGAGACACACCTGAGGGAGCAGGACCCTGTGGGGGGAGGGGGTCTACCGAGGGGGGGGGGACTGGTACCAAGAGAAGAGGCGCTAGGGGGACCGGGTGGGACGCGTGCGGGTGTAGCCTGTAGAAACAGTCAGACTCGTCAAAGGTGACGTCCTGGGAGGAGAAGACTCGACGCGAGTGCGGGTGGTAGAACTGCTACGGCGAGGCGTCGGTGGGGAAGCCAAGGAAGACGCAGCGGAGAGTGCGACAGGAGAGCTTGCTCGCTTTGGCATCGCGAACAAGGGAGAGCGCGCCCCAGACCCGAAACACCGATGCATCTCCAACCTTCCCCGTCCACCGGAGTGTGGGCGAGGTCTCTGACTCAGAGACACGGGGCCAGAGGTTGAGCTGATGCGCAGCGTATCGGACCACAAACGACCACAAAAAATGGGGTGCAGCCGCATGGATCATGGAGGTACGAGCCACGTCCATGATCAAGCCAATGCGACGCTCAGCAATCCCATTTTTCTCAGGAGAGGCCGGAAGCGTGAACGACTGGACGATGCCCTTGTCTCGACAGAACTCCGCAAG